TTTAAATAAAACCTTTGGGGCACGTTACTTAACAAGTAAAAGGTAAGAAAATCGCGCCAAAAAAAGTAAAATCCCATTAGTTACGGTCTGGGTGACGGTAGTGCGTGATGCGAGGTGAGGCGAAAGTGAACAAGACCGCCGCCCACATCATCGGAGCATGACACGCAGCACGAATTTGTAAGGCCAGTGACACTTTTATTTGGATAACAAAACCAAACTGAAAGTGCTACTCTTTTGAATTGTTATTAAGAATGTAATTTAAAAAAAAATTTAAAAAAACGCTAATTGATATAAAAATAATTTTGTATTAAAAATTAATTTGTTTATAAAATTTCTATAACTTATCTGCTATAAAATGTTTACAATTTTAAAATTTCTGTTTATTTGTAATGAATCTCGTAAGTAAAATATTTGGTTATTGAAGACAGCGTCTAGTTTAAAAATTGGTATTCAAATTTGAAACTTTTTACTAAGTAAAATTTAATTTAAATAATGAACATAATTGTTAACTCAAAAAAATTTATGGAATTTAGGTCTGAAGATAATTTAAAATGATGAAACTAAAATTACCTTCGAGGAAGATTGCGTGTTGCTAAATTTCCATAATTAGAAAGAAAACTTTACGCCACAAGCGAATTTTTTGTATTCATCCGGAAGCGTTTCTATAATCATTCGTGTGTTAATACTACAGTCAATACTTATATAAGTTTCTATTGTTATTAGTTTGCATCTTATTTAAAAATAGTTTATTTCTAAAATATATCGAATAAAATTAAAAACAACAGACAAATATTTTGTTCTTGAGTAATCCATTTGACAGGTCTCGTATTTCTATGGTCTTTCATTGCTGTTTAGAATATACTTCAGACTTTGGTTCGCATAAAATAACTTTTTAAGATGGACTTTTAAACATTAACTTATTCGAATATAAGTAGTGTTTTTCTCTTTTTTGGGGTCATTCGTGTAAACAAAATATTGTATATATTTAATTTCAATAACGGATTTCATAAAATTATCACTTAAAATTTTCAATATGATACAGTATAAATATAAGAGTTTTTATTATTGTTAAGAGTAAATATTAGTTAATATTAAAATAATTTATTTAAATCCCATAAATTAAAAATGAATTAAATTCTTTGATTAACTATTTAGTTGGTTTGTAGGTCGTTGAATAGAATATAAGAATATATTTTGCAAAAAAAAAAAAACACCCAGAGTCGAAGAGAGTCGTTTCAAAACACTTTCTCCTCCCATTAATTTGACTATTGCGTTAAATTTTGTAATATTTTTGAGTAAATATATTCCACGCATTCATTTTTAATAATTTTACTATTTTCAAAATAATTTTTATAATCGAATTATTTAGATTTTAACTGCAAAATGCTATTAATCAATCAATCTGAAATATTTCCATAAAATATTTTAAAATTATAAACATTTAAGAAATATGTAACAAAACTAATGATATTTTCTAGCTTACTAGATAAATTTAATTAACCAAGATATTTAAATGATTGAGCATCCTATGAATGGTCTTACCTTTACAGAGTAAGTTTTGTAAAGGTCGCTAATTCATTATGAAAAACTTTAATTATTTTAATAAACATAAACTATTTGTAAATATTTAAAATATTAAACATTGTTTTATATGATTAAGAAATATTCAATACTTAAAATATTTAAATGATTAAATCTCAATTTGTGACTGAAACAAACTTATGATATTCCTTTAGTTATTTAAAAATGATTTTGGATAATTATCTCTGAAGCATCTATATTTTCTCTAATATTCTTTTCCCTTAATTTTCTTCCCATTCTTTTGAATATTAAGAAAAGTTTATCAAGACGATCGAAAGTTATTTTATCTTCCAGAGATAGAGAATAGAGATATATTCTCAATATTCAAGAAATAAAAAATAGATTAAATAAGTAAAAGAGATCATATTCAGATCTTCTGCATTTATTTATTACAATTGATTTATAATAGCGTTCAGTACGAACTTTTGATAACTGCACCCATAACAAAAATTCTCATAATAAAAAAACAATAGTAAAACGAGTAATATTAATACAAAAATAAAGGTTAAGATTAAAAAAATGGTTATTCTAGAGTTTAATGATATAAAAAAATATTTTTTAAATAATATTTGTTAAAAGAAAAAATACGTTTAAATGACAACAGACGACAGTCATAATTCGGTATTATTATTCAGTAATTAGTTCTCGTTACTTTCTATATATGTCACTTGTAATTTTGCCGACAAGTAATGCAGTCGTGGATAAAGTTGAGATGTGATACATTATCAAAATTCAAAATATAGTATTACATCATCGAAATAAATGTTTAATTATAATTATAATTCGAAGTTATCGTCACACAGACATTCAATAAAAATGAAGTTGCGTATTTTACATTGTGAAACACTTATAAGTTCTTTTAAGGACTTCGAAAACTTTTTGAAAATTTAATTCGTAAATTTTAATTTAATTTTTTCACCTTTCTGAAAATTATATGAAGTGGCTAGATTTGGAATTGCATTTCTAAATAATAAAATATTTATATTAGAGACCAATCACAAGATAATTACCACAGTCTATTACCAATCTTTCAAAATTATTAATTTTATAATAAATTAATTGATGAATATACCTTTAATAAATCGATAGCTATCAAAAATAAGTTTGAAATTTTCCTCTGAATTATACTCTATTATTCAAAGTTGAAATGATAAAATGTCTAATAAATTCTAAAAATTGTCTAATAATGTTAAAATATCAAACAAATATACGTACATGTATTTAATCTCATTATAACTGAAGTAAATTTAATTCTTAAAAATCCTTTAATATAGTAATTTTACCACAATATTCTCACTTCCATTACAATATGTCACTTGAGTACATTTAGAAGGAAGAATCTATTAGGGGAGGAAAGCAAGTCATGCTTCTAACTACAACAGATCCGGTTTCGATTCCCATTTGGAACACATCACACATTTCTTTTCTATAGAAATTTTTAAAGTCCAGAATTGGATAGAAAATTTAAACAAACTATTCTTAAATATCAGAATATTTTTCATATCATCTTAAAAATAATCAATTTAATAATTTTTAATTATAATATTTTAGGTTTACTTAGATATAAAACATAAAATAATCATAATTTATATTATAAATAGGCGATAATTTATGATTTTAAATAAATATCTGTTGCAATATATTTATTTAAAAAGGTAACACATATAGTACATATTACCTTTTAATATATATTGTATATATAATATATATTTCAGGTACTATATACAATATATTTTATCTGATAATATTCAACAAGTATTGTATAACAAATATATATATATATAAAGTTATATATATATATAACTTTGATCTGTTCTTTAAAATACTATAAATTAGATCTAAACACTTATTATACCATTTAAAATATTAATTACATATAGTATTTTAATTGTTACGCTATTATCGATATTTATTAATAATATTTAATGATCTTTTAATTAATTCAGGACAATATATTTTAGTAACTAATTATAAAATATATCACCCAAAAAGTTACCAAAAATTTTTACTTCTCAACAAACGAAGAGAGCAAGAGACAGGTTTCTATACCGACCATATGGTGAGAGAACGTAAGAAACCGGTCATGCTTCATTCTGTTTCAGAATAATCTAAATAGCTTAAAGATTCCGACGTAATCATTACAGCATTAAGACGCAATTTTATTTTCTAAAAGTTACATCAGTAAGTATTTAAAATAATTTACGAGAATCCACGTCATATATAACGGGTCATTCCCCTTCAGTATCACATGTCACATTGGTGATTACACTTTTCTAGCTTTATGAGGTTCAAATATTCAGATATATGCTATTAATATAAGATTTCTAACGTATAAATATTTCCAATAATATTTTATTTTAATTAAAATTCAAACTTTGAAAATTTATTAGATTCTGCTGACAATTATTACATGTCTATTTTCCTCATTGCAAGGAATTACAATGCAATTTTATTGCTAGTTGTCTCGATGAGAAAAATTATAAAAATATTTACGCTTGAATACGTACAAAAAAAACATTACAAAATATGGCCTTTACGGGAAAATAATTATTAAAAATAATATTTAAATTTGTTTCATAATAAACTATACAATATTTGATAAAAATTTATTTAAAATTTAAATATAGAATCGCAAAAAATAAGATTAGTAAGTCACAAACATTACTGTTACAAATATTATTTTTTATAATCATCATGACCCGAATAATTATTTTTTAATGAATAATTTCTGTTTTCCCCCTTTTAAAACACGGATTCAAGGTAACATTTTCAAATTTAAAAAAAAAAGAAAAACAATGTATAGAAAATACCAGAAAATTCATAAAAATATTCCAGAAAAAGAATTAAGAAACCGGTTTCAGATGACGGAGTTCTATTCTTGAAAAATTTAAGGACAAAATGACTTTAAATTCTATGAAAGTGTCTTGTAAAATGCTATCTCTAGGTCATCATTCATTGTCCCGATTTAGAAGTGTTAGCGGAACTAGAATATATTATTTTCATTATTATTAGTTTTTATGCAATTTGTTATACGCAACGTAATAAATTTATTATTATCGTTTAAAAGACACCATTAAATAATTATATAGTATTTTCTTACGCGATAAAATCCAATACATTTTAATGTTTTCAAGTGTTGTGAATAGAAAAGAAATTTATTCCTTTTATATTTTACATTAATATACAGTACTTATAACACATAACAGCAAGTTAAACTTGATTTTCCCTAATCGTCAATTAAAAGGTCAGTATCGAAAATTAAAATCTTAATTTAAAACTACAGTTTAATGTTTAAATATTTACGCTGTAATTTCAAATTTTACCGTAATTGTATTAAAATAAATATATATATACCCATACGTAATTTTTATTTAGGTTTAATTTAAATTTTTAATAAAAGGAGGAGAAAATGAACTCACCTAAAGCTGAAAAAGCGAAAAGTGAAAATACTACAAAAGAGCAGAGCAGCTGTGAACTTTTTCTTGTTGCTATAGCAACTAATAACAGGTTGCAGTTAGTGTAAAGTCGCCATCTAGCGGACAGAAATTGATTACACAAGATTCTTAATATGTAATTTACCACGTGTCTTATAATAATCGAATTAAATATATATATGTTATTAATTCTATTTTTAAAGTAAATTAGTTTAATTAAGTTATGCCTTTTTTTTATTTTAATACAAAAACATATTTAATTTTTATAAATTTTAATAATCTGGATTATTACAATTGTGTGTTTTAAAAAATAACGTAAAAACAGTGTTGAAACTTAATTAAAATTTCTATTAATAATAAAACTTGTTCAGCAAAGTTAAAAAGTAAAATTCTGCTGACATCAAAATAACTTTAGAAATACTGACGTTGCTATGGAAACGTAAAGTAATAAGAATGTCACATGATATACTGCTTTAAAGAATATTTTTAGATTTTTTATGTTGTTTAAATAACGATAGAAATAATATTTTCTAAACGATGATTTATAACTTTAGTAATAATGTTTTAAATAGAAAATTGTTCCATTCTTCCTATCAACTAAATTGTAAAATCCAAGAAAATATCTAAAAGTAAAAAAAAAAAAATTATTATTAATATAATAAATTTTTACGTCATTAAACTTGTACAGGTTTTAAAAATTATTGACTTTCGTAGTTTTATTTATAGTATATATGGTAGTAATTTTTTATTTTTTCCTTGATTATTTTTGGCACGTTTCGCCGCTCTTGAGAGCCTTTTTTATGCCCATTGTGCGTTTGTCCGGGCCCAGAATAGAGCAGTCGGCGGCAAGAGATGAGGCCCACCATAACTGGGAAAAATCACCCAAAATTCCTGGTGTTATTCTCCCGGGATTCATCTCTTCAGAATAGTAGGCTAATACCTCAACCGCCTTGGCCATCCGACCGACTAATTATACTATATTTATACATCTATAATATATTTTAAAAAATTGATATACATTATCTGTTATAAAAGTATAACTAGCCTATTCGTTTAGCCTACTATAAAGTTTTATATATGTGGCAATAAATTAACAAATTTAGTAGTCCAAAATTTAATAGATAAACCAATATTTCAGAGTAAGAAATTGGTTTTAAGAGATGAAATCGATTTTATTGATAAACAGTAAAATTTTATTAATTTTATAGAACGTTTTATTACAATGGTTCAATATTGTATAATTTAGATTACTTTATGCTATCTTAAAATTATTTCTATTAGTAAACTATTATCATTAAATATTTGTGTTATTTTAATTCTACTTTTCCCATAAACATCCCTATACATTACTTAAAATTTCCAAACTGTATTTCAAGAAAAGAATTATTTACATGAATTATTTATAACTAACTGATGGTTATTGATTGTTATAGTTTCACGGTGTAATTTTTCTATATTTAAAATAACAGTTTTTCCTCTTAAAACTAATAATCATTATCTTTTATTAGTGTACTTTATTTTGAAATTATATCCTTCCTAACTTCTATGTTAAAATATTCTTTATGAAATGATCATCTATCTATCATTATAAGTGATGCGTTTTTTTTATTTATATAAATGTACAGTACATGGTAAAGTAAAAATAAAAGTAAATGCATTTTGTCGGTCCGCAATTTTTTATTTTATTTTATTTTATTTTACAGGACCTTGATGACTAAGAACATGGGAGTCACTATACTATATTATAAATTGGTGGTTCTAAATTTCCTGTGCATAGATAATGAAAAATGAATGCAATTCTTCTATAAAACTGTTTATTATATTTTGCTTTATTTCTTCTAATAAAACGAAATGCTTACATTTTAATTCATATTCTTATTAAATTAATTCTGTATTATATAAGAGATTAAATGAATCATGTGATATTCTTTATCATCCATCATGCAGATTTTTATTTGATAATGTGAATAATGAAGGTTTTTTTCAGTAAATGAAAAAATAAACAAGTTATAAATTATTTAAATGGATATTAATAATTTGACTTTAATTGTTATTTTTAAATTTCACTATTAACAAATGTTCTTTTAATAATTCGAAAAAAAAAAATTGCCATTCAAGTACAACTTAAAATTGTATACAAGTTACTTACATTACGTTGAGAGCTACGCAATTTTATGCCACTTCAATTACTGACTAAAGAAGCAATTGGGTCAAGATAAAGAGTATAATTCTATTCGATATTTGTGCATAATAATGTAATCAATAAATTATTTCAATGAAACTTCAAATATAAAAATAATAATTATCTTTGAATTTGATTTAAGAGCTGTCACGTCAAATAAAGGTAGAGTTAATTAATGTTCTTTTAAATTTTTTATATAATAATTTATCAATCACTGACGAACCTAATGTGAGTTGAGATTTAAATATAAAATAATAATAACGTAAAGGATGTATATATATAGATTATTTTTTTCAATTCATCAATTATTTCTTTATCTAATAAAATTTTATTTTTTTGTTTGTTTAAAAACGCTTATAATTATTGGTTATTGGTATATTGCAAGTCAAATTATTTACTATAACAGTTTCTTGGTTAAAACAGAGTAGCAAACCTGTTTTTCAAGCTACATTAACGGAGCATGATGTGGATGAGTATTTATGTTGTTCTTGTTTTCAAACTTCGCTATATATTTAATAATAAAGGCCAGACACATCCATCAACTAAAAATATTGTTCTTTCCAGCAATCTGGCTCTGGTAAAACCAGATTTGAAGGTTTGCATACTATCGATGTATTATTTTATTATTTCTTCTTCTTCTCTCTTTCTCTCTCTCTCTCATATTAAATTGTGCTTTTATTCATTTAAATAACATTATAATTTCAATTATCGAACTGTCGTATACTTTGAATTTTATGAATAGGCTCAATTCTAAACTCATAAATTTTTTATACACTATTTGGAAAAGGAGAATTTTAAATAAGTTTGGCATACAATATGATTGAATACTATAAACTTATAACACTTGGAGTTGATTATCTAATTATTTCTACTAGTAAGGGTGGTTTACGATAAATTCTTGAAAGAAAGACACCGTAAAGATTAGGTTGGAGGTTGTTCTTCAATATCTTCTGATATTTTAAAATGTTTTATAAAATAACGAATGCTTTCAGTATCGCATGTTATCAAAAATGAATAAGAACAAAATATCAATAGGAAACTCTCTTTTAATTCTTTTAAGATTAAAAGACAGAAAAGATACAGATAGATAGGGACATTACAGACAAAGGCATATATAGCGGGGTGCTTATAGTGCTGCAGCACTAGAGAGCCTATAATGAGAGAGTGGTCATACGGATAGCTGCTGCCATGTCTTTTCCAACCTGCTTATTTAGCCGCAGCCACATATTATACTTACTTGTTAGTTGGGGAAACGGAAATAATCTAGCACTTATTTAAATGGAAATTTGGGCGGAAGAAAATAAATATCGTTTTCGATTTTTAAAATTAATTTTTACTATTATTGTTTATTTAATATACTATTTATTAACTCTTGGAATTTATTTATGATGAATATTTACCCGATGCGACGAGTGACGTGCCAATTCTCTCTCTCTTTTTTTAATATCCTGAATGTTAATAATTAAAGTTGTTTTGTGTTATGTTCTAAAAATAGATTGAATAAACGTGACAAAATTATACGAAATGTCTCGGAGAACAAAAGTATATATCTCGTCGTCCCGTCTATTCACCAGGTAAACTAATGCCATTTATTTTTAAAATTATAAAAGAAATTATAAATTTTTGTTTAAATCGGTACCTTTTATATAATTTTTATTTGTGTAGAAATATAAATAAAGAGTTGAACAAATATAAAAATTTGATTCTATTACGCATAAAATATCTACAGTATACAGTTATACTATTACAAAAATAAATATTTTTAAAAAGATGCACTGGATCAGCAATAAACTCAATGGTTTCTTCTGGACAATAAGGATGTAGAATATAATATACACATTAACTAAATTTTCCACTAACAATGCCAAAGATTTTCCACATTGTCTGATTTATAGATCCATATCAGATGTTATAGCATTGACAATTCATCCCACAACTTCATTATATTTAATTATATCAAGAATTATATTTTTTTAAAACAGAACCTTCTGTTGAGTTGCTAGTATAAAAGTATGCAACAGTCTGTTTCCACTTTGTAAATATACCACTTAACATAAAGACTAGTGAATGAGTAGCCAAGCCTGTATGATTTGGTAACGTTACCTCGCCATATGTATTAGTACTTGTGTCATAATCAGTGCTTGGAGTTAGTGATGTTTCGTCCAAAATTAAAACTTTTTCTTTTTCACTGCTTTTCTTTATTTGTTTCCATGTTATTTTTAAAAAATCAAATAGTTTATACACTATTCCACTTTCAAATTTTAAGTTTTCTAGTCGTCTACGTAAGACTCTTAAGAACGGATAAGGCAGATTGCATTTAAGTAAGCTGTCATAACCTTTTGAACCACAGCTAAATCTCAATCTTAATGCTGTACATACTGTTTGGTTGGACCATTTTTTAAAACACATTAATTTTCGAGAAATGCAATCTGTTTAATTAAATATGTTTTGTACATCTGTTCTTATCATTTTGGCAATCTCTAAATTTTTGTATTCTATTCCTAACTGATCTTTTATGGAAATTGATTAATTTAAAGTGTAATTTAAAAATTATTTTATCCCTTTTCAATATTATGCTTTTTAACTCATCAATTATTTTATTTTTAGCTTTACATTTCTCAGAACTAAAATCTTTATTGAATATTGTAGAATTATGTTGAAAATTATTTGTTGCTAATTCATAACTTGATGCTTGTTCAACATAACTTGCATCATCTTTTTAAATTTTACAGGCTTTTGAATGAATGAAGTGGGTTTCTTACTGAAGGAATCTTTCTAGATTTTTTAGATGGTGCATACGAAAATATGGTAGGGACAGCAAAGATTAATACAAATAAACAGTATATCGTCATTCGAAATATTGTCTATATATTCTTAACTAGCTGTTACCCGCGACTTCGCCCGCGAAAAATTTTCAAGCAAACACTATTTATATTCAGTATTTCAACAACCATAGTAATTGTTATATAACACCTACCGCTGAGAATGATGAGAATTGCCGAGAATCAAACGAACTATTTTCAATTTGATCAATTTTCTGGAAAGTTTACAATCGTTCTATAATCGAACCAATATGCAATAACAAATTCGAATTTAAAACGGTTCGAACATTTTTAAAATCGAAATGGATAAAAATATTTATAACAATGTCTGAAATGTTATCAATTTAATACACCTAAGTACTCAATGAAGACTAAACGTAGTTGAAAACAAAAAATCGCATATAAAATAGTACAGTAGAAGCCGTTCTTCCGGTTAAGCCTTAATTCTCTCCCTCTCCCCCCGCGGGGGAATTTCGAAAAATCCCTTCTTAGTATGCGTTTTCATGACGTACACTAACTGTGCATCAAATTTCACCTCTTTAGATTCAGCCGTTTGCTCTGGGCGATGATGAATCACCCAGTCAGTCAGGACAAGTAATTTTATATATTTAGATTATTTAGGAAGATCCAGCATATTTTTCGAATTTAGTATATCTGAAAAAGAACCCAAAAGGGGTTACGAAAACGTTTGTTATTAATTAATCACTTAGCGGTTAGTGGTTGCTGCCAACCTTCATTATCGTTATCCCAGTGTGGTAAGCAGATAGCTAAAAATTTTATACTTAGTATCGAAACCTAATTGTTGCACTCGGTGAAAACGGGTAAGATCGGCTATAATCTACTAATCTTAATCTTTGCTATCGTTACTTTTTTCCGAGCAACGCCGGGCACATCTGCTAGTTCACAATAACAGTATTAGCAACACCCCCCGAACCTCGAGTATTTATGGGTCGTCGTTGATCAACACCTGGCTTAACCCGCAACAGGCTTGCTAAATAAAGAGGCCCTCTTAGTGCCCAGAGGAGCGAGTGAAAAAATAAATAAATAAACCCTCGGAGTGGCAAGTGTACCTTTGCCACTTTAACTGTTTCTCTAAAATTATCCTTTCTTAAAAGGAATGCGCTTACAAAAGAACAGAAAAAGATTAGATCTGCAGAAACTGTTTTATTTTTGCAAACATTATGTTTTTACAAATTACATAAGTTTTATTCTTTATCGAGGCATTTTTAAACAGACTTTTAATAACATTTATATAGGTCCAAACACATATTTTAATGTGTGCGAGAGCTCTCGACTATCGCTTGGATGCCTTAATTAGGCCGTAACAATTACTATTAATGTTTTACAAATATAAATATACAACAATTTATAATTGAGATTAAAATTATTAATTAATATATTAATAATCAATTAATTTATCAAACGTTTTATGTATAAAAAATTTGTTTTGCAATTAATCCTTTTACTAGTGTCTGAATAACAAATATCAATTTGTTGAGCGTGTCGTTCCAATAAGAAATTAAAACACAATTCCGGAGAGTCCAAGTTCCAGGGATGACAAAAATTGGGAGTCAAATTTGAGCACAGACACAAGCCGGAAGAGTCTAAATTCCAATATAGACAGGATTCTGAAGTCAAATTCGAGATAGACGTAATTCGGGTGAGTCCAAATTCGAGTGTAGACACCATTCATGAATCAAATTAGCAGTAGACGTAATTCGGGAGAGCCCATATTCGAGTGCAGACACCATTCATGAGTCAAATCCGGGGTTGACATAATTCGGGAGAGTCCAAATTCGAGTGCAGACACCATTCATGAGTCAAATCCGGGGTTGACATAATTCGGGAGAGTCCAATTCGAGTACAGACACAATTGAGGAGTCAAATCCGGGATAGACGTAATTCGGGAGAGTCCAGATTCGTGAAGTAGACATAAATCGAGAGTCCAAATTCGTGTAGACCAATTCAAGTAAATGATAATTGACTATAAGACATTAATAAGGAGACACAGCCGGGATAAAGTCAAAATTGGGAAGTCATAATCGAACTTGGCATTGACGCAATCGGGATGTCAAAATTAGGAGAAGTTATCGATGGTTTGCAGAAAAAACCGTATCTAAAAGTGAATGAAAAACCAATATTTTAATTTTTACTTATAAATTGAAAATTATTTTTGTAATTTTAAAACTTTACTTTTTAGGAGATTTTTAGATTTTATTTATGAAGTTTTAAACTTTACAATTTCTTTTTGTTATTTTTTGAATATTTTTAAATATACAACAAACAACGAAAACAAATAAATATTAAATGAAAACAAAATTAAGAATAAATGCGATTATATACAAAGTAATTAAAGGAATGTACAACAAACAACGAAAACAAAGAAATATCAAATAAAAAAAAAACAAAATTAAGAATATTATTTCCTTCTAAAATAGAAATACAGTAGTTACATGCCAAATGATATTGCTTACCGCAATTAATTGCAATCTGCCACGTGTCATGTATGTATCAAATATATCATTGTCAATTGGATTATTTTAGGATGTTTCCGTCCTCGTAATCATGTAAGAGTACTGGATAATTTAATTTCTACATTCATTTATACTATTGCTTTCGCTGTGTCAAGAGACCAGCAACTTCCACTCCACGATGTATTATTGTGAGTACTTGGACAGGAATATACAGGCTATGTATGCCCGATACCCTAAAAACGTGGGTTTTCTGTAGGTACGATCTCAATGGCATCAAAATATAATACATTTCCACGCTAATACCGTACATAAATATTTCCATTTTTTCTGTTTCCGGCGATTAATTGCGTATATGTTTTATTATAAAATCGCGGTCAGATATTGTGTCAATTTATAAACCGAGACCGTAAAATCTCCCAAGTGTTTGGTGTAGAATACAATAAAGTTGCCATAGAACTTACAATTAGCCAACTCGGCCCAGATCCAGCAAATAATTTATGGCAAATCTTATTCCAGAGCGGGATCTTATTGTCGATGGACAGATAGAAGCAAAGAAATCCTTACTCGAACAGAACGTACTCGCATTCTCCACTTTTTGCCATTTTGTACACCTTCTGCACGGATCTAAATGTAGAAAAAGAAGTATAATTATTCATCGGAAACGTATAACTCGATTTGAATTCCATTAAAACATATTGTGGCGCTGTATCGATAGGCTGTAAATGTTGGCCTACAAAGAGCGAAAGTTAAATTTTGAAATTTTCTACTAATTCATTGGTTCGGTGACGTTTTGAATTCATTTTTTCATTATTTTTTCATTTCTATCTTAACTTTTTATCAATCAGTAATGACACTGGCTTGGCGGACGAATAGGCCGATACAGCGCCGAACAATACGTGAAAGTTATGCGATTCGCAAACATTTCCAACTCAAATTTGTGTTTAGATCTTAATTCTATAAAAATTGTTGGTGTAATCGATACTTGGGCTTAGCGCCACACTCGATTTTTTGCCAATTTCAGAGGCTGAATCGAACTTTGTTCGCGCGTACAACATCTTACCTCTTAAAGGGTTTCCACACGCTCTTAAAGAACGACCCGAATTTCTTCAATCTATTTCTATCCCTGTAATGGCCAGGATTATCTTGCACGCAGTCTTCGTGCTCTGCCGGGTCTTCGTCTGCTTTGGTGTTTCGTGGAGGAACCGCGCTCTCACTATTGTTCACTCCTTCATCCTCCACATCTTCGACCAATCTCTCACTAAACAAGGAAAGAAATACAATAAATATATAATTTTGGAATTGAATTACGATGAATATTTATAAATGGTAACACTTGGAAAACATTTTCTTTAATTTCCCATCAGGGCAAGAAACTATTAAACTTATTACTATTTATCGAAAAATTAAAACGATGATTCCTCGTATTTCTCAGAATAACCCCTCGTTAAACAGCTCGTACATATAATATACACAAGTTTATTACATACAAACAGTAATGTAATTTACCTGTTAAAACGTTGGCAGGCCGTCTGACAGATTGGTCGAACCTTCATCACAGCTTTTCTATAAGCAGGCTTGATGTTATTTTCAAAAACGT